AAACTATATGTTCTGTAAGCCTTCACCTGAAGTAAAATAAAAAAAAATTAAATTAAAAAAAAAAGCAGGTATGAATTCTAGATCCATATTTACTAGGTAGATGATTTAGAGAAATTTCCTCATCTGTAAAACGGAGGTGATAGTACCTTCCTCATAACATACTTCAGAGGGTAAGGCAAGGCATGTAAAATCTTTACTATAGCACCTATCACTGTAATAGCCATCATTTATTACTATAATTATTATGATTAATACTATTATACCTTACATTATAATTCACAAATTAGTTATATAATTTTATGCACACTTATTATTATTATTATTATTATTATTATTATTATTATTATTACAGGGTCAGCAAAAAAGAGGAAGACCCTCAACAAGATGGATTGACATAGTGGCTGCAACAATGGGCTCAAATATAGCAACATTTGTGAAGATGGCACAGAACCGGGCAGTGTTTTGTTCTGCTGTACGTAGGGTCGCTGTGAGAAGGAACTGACTCAACACCACCTAACAACAACAATGTACCTATTATCAGATATTTTTGAACTGTACCACATGTCTCAGTTTAATTCGTAAGGTCATCGTTGAATAACATTGTTTAGTGTTTTGTTGAAATTCTAATATATTACTGTAAGTAACACAGTACATACATACACAACCAGGAATGTACAAATGAGGCTATGACTTTTTCCTACTGAATTCATGCTGGCTCCTCATGATTACCAGTTCATTTTGTAAGTATCCACCAATGATTCTGTGAGAATGCTGCCCAGGTTCAGCGTTAAATTTGTAGGAAATTAAAATTTATGTTCATATGAAACTAATTTAAGTATCCAAAACTGAGGTACATACCTGCATTCAAAAAAGGTAAGTTATCTTTTCCGCTCACACTTTCTGGGGCTGTACATTCACATACCAGTGCACACTAAGAAAGGATAAAAGAAAAAAAATATATAATATGTATATATACTTTGAAAATAACAAAATGAGAAATAAAATTATTTCATTTTGTTTGAAAAACATGACTATGTACAAAGTTTAAAAATGTTTCGAACAAACATTTTTGTAAAACAATTTCCAGACTTATCTTTACTAGAAGCAATGTTTAACTTGTGACTATTTACTTGCATTACTTATACATAATATGATCGTTTGATATAATCATAGGCTACATTTCAGTTCTAGTTAAAGACTATTTAGGGAAGATGGTAAAAAGTGGAAAAGGATCATCCCTAATATGCTAGAGATATGTTCCTAGTACAGTAAATCAGATTTGACAAGCTGAAGGGTTTTATATTTCTTTCACCGGGGATGATTTCATATCAATAAAAAGAAATATTTTCTAGATTTTAAGTAACCCAAACCAAACCCATTGCCATTGAGTTGATTCTGATTCATAGCGACCCTATAGGGCAGAGGATAACTGCACCATAGGGTTTCCAAGGCTGTAAGTCCTTACAGAAGCAGACTTCCATGTCTTTCTCTCATGGAGCAGCTGGTAGGTTCGGACTGCAGACCTTTCAGTTAGTAGCTGATCGCTTAACCACTGCACCACCAGGGCTCCTTGATTTTAAGTAATGCCAACTCTAAATGAAATGTAAAATATGCTATAACATCTAATTACATAGGAGAAATGGATCTTTTTGCCTCTGGCAAAACAGTGCAAATACTTGCTCATAAAGTATGAGGACAATGTATGTATAAGTAAGCTGATCTCTGGAATCAGCTATTAATAGATATGGCTCACAAAATTTTATGTAACCAGTACTACTCCGGACAAAAAGAGAATAGTCACAGAAGAGGACACTGCCATGTTTTAGTGAATGAATTGTGAGTGGGAGAGAACTTTCCTGATAATCCAGCATTAAGCATAGGACCCTCACTTGGCTTTCTACAAAGCAGTAACTAACAGAGGAAACAAAACTCTCTGGCCCAAGAGGCTACAAGAGACCTATTTTCACACATAGGCTGACTCCAGCATTCATCTCTTCAAATGGGTTTCCTTCTATCTCTAGCCAGAGAAATGGGATAGGGGCATGGGGAGAGTGAACTTTTTGAGCAAGTAAATGCAAATAAAACATAATGAAAGAAAACCTAAAAAAAAAAAAAAAAAAACCTAGGACATTATTTTGGTAAGAAGTTCTAAGGTCCTGCACAGCTTAGCTCAAGGCACTCCAAGGACTCAGACCACTTTACCCATGAGGCGGTTGTATCCAAATTGCTTGGGACTATTTACTACCTGTCCCAACTCTTTGTTTCCCAGAGAGTCTGCTGGGACACCACTCCTTCCATCCTTCTTCCCCAGGCACTGGGCCCTTTGAGAATCATGACTCCTGAGATCACCATGGACTGTGTATGCCCCTCAAGCATACTGAGGATGTCTTAGTCATCTAGTGCTGCTATAACAGAAATACCACAAGTGGATGGCTTTAACAAAGAGAAATTTATTTCCTCACAGTAAAGTAGGCTAAAAGTCCAAATTCAGGTCATCAGCTCCAGGGCAACGCTTTCTTTCTCTGTCAGCTTTCTCATCAATGTTCCCCCGGACTAGGAGCTTCTCTGTGCAGGGACCCGGGACCAAAGGATGTGTCTGCTCCCGGCACTGCTTTCTTGATGGTATGAGGTCCCCATGTCTCTCTGCTCACTTCTGTCTTTTATATTTTAAGAGATTACCTCAGGACACAATCCAACCTTGTAGATTGAGTCCTGCCTTACAACACAACTGCAGCCCATCCTCCCTCATTAACATCATAGAGGCAGGATTTACAACATATAGGAAAATCACACAATACTGGGAATCATGGACCAGCCAAACTGACACACACATTTTTGGGGGGACATAATTCAGTCCATGACAGAGGAGAAAGAAAAATAACTTCAAACCACTGTCTCATTGATTTAAATGTTACTGTCTGTATCATTATAGTGCACTACTGATTCCTCTATCATAACCTTCAGCACAGTATTCAGGAAATTTCTTGATGGAGAAAAAAATCTGTGCTTTCATAATTGCTTTAATGCTTACATTGAGGTCCTTGTTTGCTGAACGAAGGAATGACTGCAAACAGCTTTTGACATTTGGTGGTCTCTAAATAATTTTCCTGACCAGTCAGAAGTCAGAGGTGATTCTTCCCATTCATCCACAACTAGTTTGGAAACACACTTCCCAAGTCACTAGAACAATGTGCAATGATGCTTGGACATACTTAAAATTCTTTCTCCTATTTCTAATATTTCCCCTACTCTCACCAAAACAATATAGGGCCGCTAAGATAATCTTTCTCAAACATTATATTTATCAGATCAATGTTCTGCTGTAGAATTTATAATGGTTATTTACTGTCCAGTCAAATCCAATATTGTCAGACTGATCTTCAGATTCTTTCATGATTTGTCCCGACACACTTCAATATAATAACTGGGTATATAGCTCTGAGCTACCCTTTTTTCCAAAAGAGGATCATCATCTGTAATACAACTTATAGGAATGGTTTAGATTGAATCTTTTTGGCAAAGAAGTCTGTAATTCATAGAAATCAGGTAGGGCATTATCCTGAGACACTGCTTACCTGTATAGACACAGTCCTACTTCTTTGTCATCAAAGGAAGCTTTCCATGTTCTAATGGAAAGGTCTGAATTATTTTAGCAAATGGATACAGCAATATAACTTTCATACATTCTTGTCTTCCATCCAAACTAGAAGGGAGCTACTAGGACAATTTTACCCTAACAGAATTCTTAGGAGTTGGGCCTGGCATGTTCAAGTAACAGCAAGAAGACAACGTGGCTGGATTACAGTGAGCAAAACAGAGTGGCAGGGGAAGGGGTCAAGGAACTAACAGGGCCAAATCCTGTTAAGACTTGTAAGTTTTTAACTCAAATCACTGAAGGGATTTTAGTTTACACCTCAGTGAGTTGAGAAGCCATTGAAGGAGTGACACGTTTTGACTTACATTTTAATGGGATCATTTCAACTGATTTGCTGAGAATAAACTAAGATATGCAGATGGCGTGGGAGAAGGAGGGATAAAGAAATCCAGGGGAACATCTGGGAGACTGTAGAAATTTAGGTGACAGGTAATAGTGGTAGCAGTGATGGGATTACAAATCATGGGATTGGGATTTATTTTGAAAGTAGAGCCAACAGGATTTGCTGACATACTGGCTGTGAATATGACATGAAGAGAGGAGGAAAAAGTCAAACTAAACTCCAAAATTAAAAAAAAAAAATAAAGGATATTTAATGTATTATTTCACTTAATATATTAACTTTATAAAGTGACTTAGTATTTCCCTTGTGAATTTTTCTTTTTACTGCTGTGTGATTTAAACACTTTATTTTATATATGTATGTTTATTGTGTATATATACAAACTTCTGAGCCAGTCTAACATGGTGAAAAGTGGCTCTGGTGGCACAGTTGTTAAAAGCTCTTGGCTGCAAATCCAAAGGCCTGCAGTTGGAACCCACCAAGCAGCCAGCCATTCTGAGGGAGAAATATGTGGCAGTCTGCTTCCGTAAAGATTTACAGCATTGGAAACCCAATAGGGGCAGTTCTACCCTGTCCTATAGGCTAGTTATGAGTCAGAATCCACTCCACGGCAATGGGTAACATGGTGAAGGATACTCTGGACAGTGTTCTTTGAAAAGAAATATGTTGTAATACAATGATTAGGGGAAATGAGTAAGCAAATGTATGTGGGAGAAAAGAGCTTGGACTTCTACATATATATTTTTTCATTATCTAGAAGCTATATAATATTGAAGATTAAAGTGAAGATTTTATAGCAGGGTTATCAATCTTTTATCCACTTCAATCTGCATGAGAGATGACATGCATCACCCTCACCACACACAACTGTGGTGTGAATTGTAGTTCCCTTCTTCTCTCTCCAACTGATACAGACAAGTAAGAGCGATGCTACCTTAGGGATAACGTCTATTTCAGTTTACTTTTTCTTTTCATATATGTCAGTCATTCATTAACTTCTGGACTCAAATCACCATTAATAACATATTGTGTTTGATATATTTCATGCGGATTTTGCTTTAACTGATCATTGGAAAGATCCATGCATTTACATTTCTAATAAACTCCCCAGATTATTCTGACCACACACTGAAAAATACTGAAAAAAAAAAAAAAGTTTTCCCACAAACTCCTTTAAATATCATGCATAGTGGGCCTTATTACATATTTTTCTCTGAGCCATGAATAATTTTTGGGATCACCAAGGGAGTTTACTATACTATTTAAAAAAATGGCAAGAGGCTAAGGTTTACTAAGAATACAGGTAGGACAGAGATGATGCCAACAACATTTGTCATATTTGCTGGTTTAGTCAGTTTATGACTTGTACACAGTGTGTACTGCCACTGCCCCTTGCTGTTCTAGAACAGCTCAGTCTGTTTTGAGTTTGCCATTCTAAGCCAGGAATATAATGTAGGGCTTTGGTGGAGGGGTGGGGGGTGGTTATTGGCAAACTCTTTTCATATTCCTGAGTGTCTAGTTCTACATTTATCAAAAGAGTATGATTCAGTTTCAAGATCTCATAACAGCAACACAGTAAAGGAATCAGGGGCAGATGAGCTTTGAGGAAAATGGAGAGATGGCTAGTAATAGACTCAGAGGCAGAAAAGGAGCCTTGCTTTGAAATGGAAAGATTTTCTGCCACTCGTTTTCTGGCACACTGCTATAAGCCCAGGTGGGATTACCTGCCTAAGTTTTTGCTCTAGATCCCCAATTTAGCCTCCGAATTCTCCCTCCTATATCTTGATACAAGTATTCACATGGTGGTGACAAACAGAAGCCTTATATAGAATCTCAAACGGAACAAGGATTAAGTGAAGGGACCTAGCCCAGGTCAGGGGTTTCAAGCAGACATACCCACAGAGGATCTGCTGCAGAGCTTCTCAACGGACCT